ATAACATGACAATATATACACCGTTCTCTTGTATTTTTTATGTATTTTCTAACATGATTTTTTGCAAATTGTTTACACGACATTGACGAACGTTTTGTTGTTGTTTTCTTCTTCTTTTACATGTGCATTATATAAACATTGTAAATTATGCCACTGTTTAAAATGCATTTAAAAAATAATTATTGAATGAATTAATAAAAGCCTCTGGGGAGACCAGCGCACTAACATTGCGTACAAACAGTAACTAAAATGAATAACAATCAATGAATGAATGACTCAAAGACATTTGACATTTTAGTTTCTTATTTAGAGTACCATTAGATTAATTCAATTAACTAATCGACACATCATGTAATGTATTAGATTACAAATTTGAATCGACTGACAGCCCTAAATTCAATATATATTATTATATCATAATAACATGATGATGAACTGAAATTTGATGACCGAAACTAAACTTGACCTGTCATAAAAGGTCAAATAATCTAATAATTTTAAGAGACCATGTACTTGAATTAATAAAAGCCTCTGGGGAGACCAGCGCACTAACATTGCGTACAAACAGTAACTAGCCTACTTGAACCACATTATGCATTAAAAAAAACACAGTATGCATGATTAAATGAACCTCCCCAGCAGTGGGACACTTTCACCATCATCACCATCATCATCATCATCACATGCGATGCACATCAGATCCGTACCCAGACGCGTAACGAGGCTTTTATTCAACAGTTGAGGACGTGAGCTCTGTAGATGTGTGTGCTGTGATGCAGGCGTGCAGCAGCACTAATGTGTGTGTTCTGCATCAGTGTGTCATTGACTCCGGCTCTGCGAGGATCTTCTCACAGCATTGCGGCGAGTGGAGAACTTGTGCGGGACAGTCTCACCTTTACACTGCAGTCTCGCCTGGCACCATCGCTGTTATTCATCAGGACGATCATTTCAACCATCCTGCTGTATAAAGCGGTGAGTGTGCGATTTCCGATGATTTTATTATGCACGAGTTCAGCTACAAGTCTATACAACTCTCTACTGTATGTGGACTTTGCATTACACTCTTTATGCTACTATTAACAATTACCAATGAACAACATGTATATAACGAAGTATGACTTGCACACTGTCCTATTTAGTATCCTACTATTTAAAGTGTTTTAATAGGGGCAAGTTGTCACACTTTTTATGCAGTGAATATTTTGTCACACTTTATCTAAGGACAAATTCTCATTATTAATTAGCATGCATATTACTAGCATATTGGCTGTTTATTAGTACTTATAAATCACAGATTAATTTCGTATTCTGCATGATCATATTTTAGATCCTTTAATCCACCCCATACCTAAACTTAATAACTAACTATTAATAGGCAGCAAATTAGGGGTTTATTGAGGTCATAGCTAGTTAATAGTGAGAATTGGACCTTAAACTAAAGTGTGACCATGTATACTTATCGAGGGAAGATTACACTCACTCTTCACTCTGTCCCTGTCACAGGCCGTTCTTCAACAGAGGCATATATCCTTATTAACAAACACAGAAGATGTTTCTATGTTAACCTCTTCAGAATCATGGGACTCGGTCAGTCCAGCAGGACATCGGTCAGTAATGACCCAGAGGAGGGTAAGTGTGCTCTTGAAAAGAAAACAAGCTGTTCCAGTTCCTATAGTTGGACAGTGGACCCACATTCATAACACACTAAAACATGAACTACTATATGATCTAATGTGTGTGTGTGTGTCAAGTCAATCAAGTAGTTGTTTAATGCACGAGTAGTTTGATGTGACACACAGAAATATAATACTAAATATATATATATAATATATATAACAAAATACTTGATAATACAAAATATTAGATTAAATAATGTTGGCAACAGAACACTGTCCAACAGCGACAAGAGTGAATAATGTTTCAGAGGATCAGATGGTTCGGACTAATAAACAGCACAGCCACCCAGACATGATCCATTTTGTCAAGTAAAATTAATAAAGTGATAATAAACAGAAAATGAGTTAATTTACACATCACTTTGATCATCATAACACGTCTGGTTTTATAAAGGATTTTATCACTTATAGTCTTATTATATTCTTTTGCTCAGTTTCATAGTGGAGCTTAGAATAATGTTATATGTTTAAACTCTAATGGGATCTGTTTTATTGTTTGCCTTGTGAAAATATGCAAGTCAGATTGCTTAGAAAAGTCATTGCACAAGATGCATGACTTCAGGTATAATTTTTGTCCTTACCTAGCAAAACTAAAAATAAACAGTATTGACGAAGAGAAAAACCTTACCTGCACTTCTGCACACGTGTGGGTTTATGAAGGTCTTGAAATTTGAGGGAGAGCATGCTCAACTTTTTAATAAGAGTTTGAGATCAATATTTACATTTTTGTAGCCTTAATGTTGTATTATATATATAAGTAAAAAAAGAAAGAAATATAAACATGTACATTTTAAAGATTATTACTTTTCCCAAGAGAAGGAAGTTTTCAAGAGTACATTTTCTTTATATTGCTTTACAGCTGTGTCCCTAATTTTTGTAAACACTTTCAGATATTCCTAAAAACATGTATGCTTATACATTATATGTTCAATCATTCATATATAATATAGATTTGTAGATACCCCCCCCTCAGTTTAAGTAGTAAGTAGTAATTGAAAGTAGTATTATGCAGTACTTGTGTTAGTACAAAAGTTGATATACTGTAAAATAAAGCAAAAAATAAATAAAAAGATATACTCACCTAACAGTACCTCTGTGACGTTCTTTCTTCATGCTTTGTGTTGTTTGCTTCTATTTTGAAGACTTTGGGGTATAAATTATAGCATTCTGAGAAAGTGTTTTTTTTTTGACGTTTCCTGAAAGTTGTGCCAGTTAGATAGAAGTTTGTAATTTTGAGGAAACTCTTGAGAGTTTTGTGTGCAAAATGCAACAGAAAAACTGTGAGCATGCTAGCTGAGTCTGAGACGTCTGTTTTTAAATATAATAATGATCGCTGGTCCTTGACCACCGAGTAGCAACCATCAAGCTGTAATTGCTGCTGACAGCATTCTTTAGACTGCCTTGGACTGCAGTTTCAGATAGACGAGCTGTGAGAGACGGGACGCGGTTCATTCACAGGTCAGACGATGAGTTTTGCTGCATTAGATGAGGAGTGAGATTCAGCTAAAATGCCTTTGGTGCAAACCAAACACATAATGCATTAATTTTGTGAACTGCACGCCTGTTTAAATCAGATGAGCAACTTCATAAAGAAATTAAAATCTATTGTCAGCTTGTTTTATTTACTATTCAGCATCGCAATTGTCCTTGGGAATACAAAGAGTTTGAATCTGTTCTGTTCTCAAATATGGTGTTTGCTGTTTTACTCCGACGCCCCTGTGTGTGTGTGTGTGTGTGTGTGTGTGTTCTACAGAAGAGAAAAATTATTATCTTGTAATTTCATTAGTGTAATATACTGTACACTAATATATTTATTTATTGTCTCTCCACAGTCAACTTTGACCACTTTCAGATCTTGAGAGCCATTGGAAAAGGCAGTTTTGGAAAAGTAAGTGTTGCTTTTTATTTACTAGATAAACACAACAAAACAAATAGAAGCCGATTGTACTGAGGCCAAAGTGAATTGTCAGTGACCTTCATTGATTGCGCTTAAAACTTTGATACTGTAGATTAAGACCTAATTTGGCAGATTCAATTAACTCAAGAGTAAGTGCGCCAGTTGGCCTTAAGATGGTTAATTACTGCTATATTGACTCGATAGTATGGCAAGCCAAATGTTAACGTCTATTAATGCCCAATATTCAATACATTTAAATGCTTCATCCAATGTTTTATTCTGGGATTCTATCTTTGTTGACTCTCCAGTAGAGGTTTCAAAAGTAAAAGACTCCATTCATTTTATCCATAAAAGGGTAAAATTACTTTTTGAAAAACTGCATTACCCATGATGCTGTTCAAGAAATTCTACCAATCAGAGAGTTGTGGCCAGCAAATCAAGCCAAAAGAGATTTTCAGGAGTCGCGGCAGTAGAGGTGGCGCAACTAGCGCCCACTCTAAAGCGATACTAAACTGCAGTGGAAATGCAAACCGAGCCAAGCCGAGCCGTGCCGTACCACGCAGTGGAAAAGCGCTATTAGACCCACTAGAACTGAAGAATTACTGTCCCATCTCAAAATGATCATGCATATCAAAGATTTTAGAAAAGGCAGTTTTATCCCAGTTAATGTCTTAGACAAATTTCAGTTGGGTTTTAGGGCGGGTCACAGCACAGAGTCTGCACTTTTGAGAGTTGTAAATTATCTTTGTATAATCAGTGATTCAGGTAACTGCAGCTCTGATTTTACTGGACTAGAGTGCATCTCTTGATGCAATAGACCATGTGATTCTCATAAAGATCTTATCGTGCCAATAGAGCATTCTCAGTGAAGTATGGTGACTTTGTTTCAATAACAGCTCCTATTACCTGTGGGGTTCCTCAGGGTTCTGTTATTGGCCCTGTTTTATTTTCTGTGTACGTGCTGCCTCTGGGCTCATGTCTTACCATTTGTATGCCAATGATACACAAATTTATCTCCCTTTGAAATCTGGAGAGAACTGTGCTTCTAACTTACTTTTGGCATGTCTGAAAGAGGTTAAGAATTCTATCACATAAGAATGAATCACAATTTGGTTCAGTTAAGCCAAAGTAAAACAGAGATTATGATTTTTGGTCCCGTCAGAGGATGCTCAGACATTGCCACTTATTTAGGTCCGTGGTCAGCCTACTGCAATGACCAAATAAGGAATCTATGAGTTGTGTTTGAACCAGAACTGAAATTTTACAAGCACATTAATGCTGTGGTTAAGAGTTGGTTTTTTTTCCAGATTGCTCGATTAAAACCAGCTCTCTCCGAACTCTCTGCCTTTATTTAGTCTCATCTGGACTATTGTAATGTTTTGTATGTGAGGTCCTGTTAGGCCATTATTTCATGCTTGCAATTAGTTCAGAATGCGGTGGCTAGGCTGCTTGTGAATGCTAAGAAAAGTCAACATATCTCTCCTATTTTGGCCTCTCTCAGATGGCTACCAGTGGACTTCAGGATCAAATATAAGGTTCTGTTGTATGTTTTTAAAGCAGTACATGGAATAGCTCCTGATTATGTGTCTGAGCTCATTACTTTTCAACATTCAAACATCTAGTTCTTTAAGATCAACTAATAAGTTGCTTCTTACTATCCCACAAACTCATTTAAAATGTAAAGGGGATCAGGACTTTACTCTTGCAGATCTGGAATAGTCTGCTGCATGAGATTAGAAAGGCTACATTTATAAACACCTTTAAAGCTGGTGTTAAAAATGACTTCTTGTCATTAGTCTTTAAGGAGTTGGGCTAGTATATGTTGTTTTTAGTTGGATTGTTTGTTTGTTTGTTTGTTTTTAGCTGTATGCTGATTGTTCAGCACTTTGGTCTGCAGTTTACAAACTCCAGTCAGTCACACAAAAGGGAGAATGCTGGTCAGTCATCAGATAATAGGGTCAAACAAGCAATCAAATAAGTAGGGATGAAAATATAATGTTGTTGTGAATAGGGTAGAGAGTAAAGAACAGAAATATAGCAAAATATATGACAAATGCAGAAATGTTTATTAACCATAATTATTCAAAATCATGCATGACCGTACGGTTGATATGTCTGTAAAAGACATGTCATACAGCATATATAGCATACGGCTATATATATTATACAGACTTTAAATGCAATTTTTTTTATCTTTGTGGACCCTGAAGGTTATGACATGTATCCAAGACCTACTAATAAGTTAAAGGAATGTTTATTATCAGAAAATAACTAATGAAATAGTTCTCTGAATTTAAATTGAGATTTACCATGGACTGACAGCTCAACCATACGGTAGAGTATTAAATCTTGTATACATTTAAAAAAAATGATTGAGGCTATTTATTAGATATCTACTAATACTACTTTTTCATTAGTTCCTTTTAAAGGGGTCATATGATGCGATTTCAAGTTGTTCTTTCTCTTTGGAGTGTTACAAGCTGATTGTGAAAAGATAAGATCCCTGAAGTTGCAAAGACTAAAGTCTCAAAACCAAAGAGATATTCTTTATCAAAGTTAAGACTCGACCACACCCCCCTAAAACGGCTCGTTCTAACACGCCCCCACATATCTACATCACTATGTGGAAATATTTGCATAATGCCACCCAAATGTGCACGCAAAGAAAGAAGGCGTGGTTTCAGTAACCGCAGTTAGTGTTGAAGCAGCATGTCAGGGAGACACTGTGTGTTTCTAGACGAAAGCAAAAGCACTTTATTTGGCCTTCCAGAAGTAGATGCATTTAGGAATCTTTAAGATCACTTACAACAGAACAGCAATGCATTTTATGGACGACCGTTTCGTGAACCTAGGAGAGGAGGTCATTCTGACTTTGCTATGACAATCTGGCGCTTCTGAATCAGCTACTGTTTTGTTATTAGTTTAAGTATTTGCTATTGACTGTTCAAATGCGGAGTTTTGCGCATCGTGTGTGTGTGTGTGTGTGTGTGTGTGTGTGTGCGTGCGTGCGTGTTTGTGAGAGAGAGAGAGAGAGAGAGAGAGAGACATCACAGTGGAGTCAGCTGTCTTAACCGTGGCTTGTGTACTGCAAACACATAGTCCTGTTAGGCCATTATTTCATGCTTGCAATTAGTTCAGAATGCGGTGGCTAGGCTGCTTGTGAATGCTAAGAAAAGTCAACATATCTCTCCTATTTTGGCCTCTCTCAGATGGCTACCAGTGGACTTCAGGATCAAATATAAGGTTCTGTTGTATGTTTTTAAAGCAGTACATGGAATAGCTCCTGATTATGTGTCTGAGCTCATTACTTTTCAACATTCAAACATCTAGTTCTTTAAGATCAACTAATAAGTTGCTTCTTACTATCCCACAAACTCATTTAAAATGTAAAGGGGATCAGGACTTTACTCTTGCAGATCTGGAATAGTCTGCTGCATGAGATTAGAAAGGCTACATTTATAAACACCTTTAAAGCTGGTGTTAAAAATGACTTCTTGTCATTAGTCTTTAAGGAGTTGGGCTAGTATATGTTGTTTTTAGTTGGATTGTTGGATTGTTTGTTTGTTTTTATGTATCGTATGTAGCTGTATGCTGATTGTTCAGCACTTTGGTCTGCAGTTTACAAACTCCAGTCAGTCACACAAAAGGGAGAATGCTGGTCAGTCATCAGATAATAGGGTCAAACAAGCAATCAAATAAGTAGGGATGAAAATATAATGTTGTTGTGAATAGGGTAGAGAGTAAAGAACAGAAATATAGCAAAATATATGACAAATGCAGAAATGTTTATTAACCATAATTATTCAAAATCATGCATGACCGTACGGTTGATATGTCTGTAAAAGACATGTCATACAGCATATATAGCATACGGCTATATATATTATACAGACTTTAAATACAATTTTTTTTATCTTTGTGGACCCTGAAGGTTATGACATGTATCCAAGACCTACTAATAAGTTAAAGGAATGTTTATTATCAGAAAATAACTAATGAAATAGTTCTCTGAATTTAAATTGAGATTTACCATGGACTGACAGCTCAACCATACGGTAGAGTATTAAATCTTGTATACATTTAAAAAAAATGATTGAGGCTATTTATTAGATATCTACTAATACTACTTTTTCATTAGTTCCTTTTAAAGGGGTCATATGATGCGATTTCAAGTTGTTCTTTCTCTTTGGAGTGTTACAAGCTGATTGTGAAAAGATAAGATCCCTGAAGTTGCAAAGACTAAAGTCTCAAAACCAAAGAGATATTCTTTATCAAAGTTAAGACTCGACCACAAGTTAAAAATCCAATGGAAAAATGCATGGAGAAAACCCAGAACCAATTCCACTGAAAAACTGAGAGCCCATATTCTCGGCAAACTTGGATTCAGATTTGTTCAAAAAGATCGCTCATACCATTTCTTTTTCCAGGTATGCATTGTCCAGAAAAAGGACACAAAGAAAATGTACGCCATGAAGTATATGAACAAACTCAAGTGTGTGGAGCGCAATGAAGTGCGCAATGTCTTCAAAGAGCTCCAGATCATGCAGAACCTGGAGCACCCGTTCCTGGTCAATTTCTGGTGAGCTTCTCAAAGTCATTAAGTGATTCATCAGTGCTATACAAAATAACCTTGAATATTAACCTGTACATTTATTCCATTTGTATGATGTAATCACAAACGTGACCTTGCAATGTTTCAACAGCGTATAAGTAGCCTACTAAGTAACAAAGGTTAACAATTACAATGAAATGTTCCTTAAAATCTACTAAGATGACTCATTTACGTGCAGATGGCCACGGTTTTTTTTAGGTGAAGTGGAAGTTCATAAGTATATAACTATCAAAATGTCCTTCGAAACTTGACTAAGTGGCTGTTTACACAGTAACACTATTGATTCTGACATTAGCATGTTGCTAAGCTAACTATTCAGTAGCCGTGTAAGTATAACACTACGTTGCATACACAAACATTCTTATAGGCTATTTTTTTAAATCTCTGCTGTTCGGGTGTGAAAAATATACATTTTCCTTTGACACTTTTCCACTGAGCTAATTTATCCAAAAACATATCAAACTGCCTTGTATTTTGAAAAAAAGATATTTAACAAAAAGTATTAGAAACATGCTAGCAATGTGCTAATCACAATATGCTAAAACATGCTAGCAACATGCTAGAAACATGCTAATCATGTCAGCTACATGCTAGAAAAATGCTAATCATGTCAGATACATGCTAGAAATATGCTAATCATGTCAGCTATATTTAGAAATATGCTAATCATGTCAGCTACATGCGAGAAACATGCTAATCATGTTAGCTACATGCTAGAAACATGCTAATCATATCAGCTACATGTTAGAAACATGTTAATCATGTCAGCTATATTTAGAAACATGCTAATCATGTTAGCTACATGCGAGAAACATGCTAATCATGTTAGCTACATGCTAGAAACATGATAATCATGTCAGCTACATGCTAGAAACATGCTAATCATGTTAGCTACATGTTAGAAACATGATAATCATGTCAGCTACATGCTAGAAACATGCTAATCATGTCAGCTACATGCGAGGAACATGCTAATCATGTTAGCTACATGCTAGAAACATGCTAATCATATCAGCTACATGCTAGTAACATGCTAATCATGCTAACAACATATAACATTGTGTTAAAAAATGCTATGCTGGTAATGTGATAATCATATAACAAACGTGCTAGCAATGTGTTTAAAATGCTAAAATGTGCTATAGACATTATAAAACACGCTAGCTATGTGTTGAAATGTGATAGCAAAGTGTATCTATCTATCTATCTATCTATCTATCTATCTATCTATCTATCTATCTATCTATCTATCCTAACTTTCATACTTTAAAATGGTTTCAAGCTTCAAGCTTTTACATCTAATTCAAGCTTTCAGGCTAGGCTTTCTCGAGCCAACCAAAGTTTATCATGACCGTTTTTTTTCTAGTTTGCTACTACTGTACAATTTTGAGGCAGTGTTTGAATCGTCTGTTTATTGAAGGCACATGGTAGCGGAATCAAACTAATATTTTGTCTTTGTGTTTGGAATATTTTGCCCAAGAAGGTTTGTAGTTCAGCTTTCGGCCTGGTGGGAGATGGGGCATGAAACTGGTAACAGCTGAAGCGTGACATTTAGAGACGGATATGAGACAAAACAGTGCAGTCACTGTCAGGATGCTTTTAGCTTCTAATGAATGGAGCTGAATACTTGAGATATGAGCACACTTCACATCTAGAAAGCTTTTCATGCTGTTCACCGCTTTATTTCAGCAAATTGTTACCTCACACAACATAACTCATAACAGGACTCTGTTTTATCAGTATGCTTTACCAGTATTTATACAGTAACATTTACACGTAACATTATCATGTCAGCTACATGCTAGAAACATGCTAATCATGTCAGCTACATGCTAGAAAAATGCTAATCATGCTAACAACATATAACATTGTGTTAAATAATGCTATGCTGGTAATGTGATAATCATATAACAAACGTGCTAGCAATGTGTTTAAAATGCTAAAATGTGCTATAGACATTATAAAACACGCTAGCTATGTGTTGAAATGTGATAGCAAAGTGTATCTATCTATCTATCTATCTATCTATCTATCTATCTATCTATCTATCTATCTATCTATCCTAACTTTCATACTTTAAAATGGTTTCAAGCTTCAAGCTTTTACATCTAATTCAAGCTTTCAGGCTAGGCTTTCTCGAGCCAACCAAAGTTTATCATGACCGTTTTTTTTCTAGTTTGCTACTACTGTACAATTTTGAGGCAGTGTTTGAATCGTCTGTTTATTGAAGGCACATGGTAGCGGAATCAAACTAATATTTTGTCTTTGTGTTTGGAATATTTTGCCCAAGAAGGTTTGTAGTTCAGCTTTCGGCCTGGTGGGAGATGGGGCATGAAACTGGTAACAGCTGAAGCGTGACATTTAGAGACGGATATGAGACAAAACAGTGCAGTCACTGTCAGGATGCTTTTAGCTTCTAATGAATGGAGCTGAATACTTGAGATATGAGCACACTTCACATCTAGAAAGCTTTTCATGCTGTTCACCGCTTTATTTCAGCAAATTGTTACCTCACACAACATAACTCATAACAGGACTCTGTTTTATCAGTATGCTTTACCAGTATTTATACAGTAACATTTACACGTAACATTTTCACTGTCATGTTTTAGTATCTATCCAATATATCAACACTCACCATCATTAAACCCAAGTATGACATATATGAATCTAAAATATAAGTGTAATTGACTGATTTGTGTGTGAAAGGTCAAATCAAGTAAATGTGTAAAATGCAGTGTAATAAGTTAGCCCCAGAAAATGTGTAATCAGCTACATGAGTTAATATACTCTAAGATTAATATTTAGATTTGAATTTGTACTACACGTATGCACTAAACCTGAAATATTGAGTATAAGCTAATTAGGTTATTAATTTCAGTTTTTTATGAACTTCAATGTGCATTTGTTCAGATATAACTGCAGTACAAGATTATGAGATGCATTATTTGAATGCTTGGCCAAAGAGATGTGTCTTTAATCTAGATTTAAACAGAGAGAGTGTGTCTGAACCCCGAACGGTATCAGGAAGGCTATTCCAGAGTTTGGGAGCCGAATGTGAAAAAGCTCTACCTCCTTTAGTGGACTTTGCTATTCTAGGTACTACCAAAAGTCCAGAGTTTTGCGACCTTAGGGAGCGTGATGGATTGTAGCGTGGTAGAAGACTAGTTAGGTACGCAGGAGCTAACCCATTAAGGGCCTTATAGGCAAGTATTAATATTTTGTAACTGATACGGAACTTAACAGGTAGCCAGTGCAGAGACTGTAAAATTGGGGTAATATGATCATATTTTCTTGACCTGGTAAGGACTCTAGCCGCTGCATTTTGAACTACCTGTAGCTTGTTTATTGAAGATGCAGGACAACAACTGCAGGAAATCAATGGCTTCTGGCAACATTCTTCAGAATATCTTCTATTGTGTTCAACAGAGGAATGAAACACTCACACTTTAGTTTGGGGACCAATGTTACCTAACTATTAACCATGACTTTTGCCTCAGTTTGCCGCTTATTAAGTTAGTAAGGTAGTTGGTAAGTTTAGGTATGGTGTGGATTAAATGATCTAAAATATGGTCATGCAGAATAAGGTGTTAATAAGTGCTTTATAAGTACTAATAAATAGCCAATATTTTTATAATATGCATGCTAATAAGCAACTAGTTAATAGTGAGAATCGGTCCCCAAACTAAAGTATTACCAAAGAAACTCACACAGCAACTTGAAGATGACTAAATAATGACATAATTGTCATTTTGTGGCTGAATTTTAACTTTAATTGTCACAATCCAAAAAAAAAAAAAAAAAAAGTTTTTATCTTCTTTATGTGAAGTAAGAATTCTTATTGTATTTTGCTGTCAAATGAAACCAAAATCCATCCATCAATTCTCCAAACTGTTTTCTCCTCTCTGTTTCCCAAAAGCATAATAACTTCATTGCACATCTGTTGTTTGAAGCATGCTTTTTTCAACAATACATTTAATGACATTAAAAACCAAAAAAATGGCACTTTAATTCATTTGACAAGCTAAAAGATGTAGAATGGAATCTGGAATGAACTGCATGTTAGCTTGCTTATTAATATAATTTATTAATAATATTAATTAATTAAAGTTCACATGTTTTTCTTACAAGAAACTATGCTATTAACCACAGGTCGAGAGCTGCGGTTCCAATCACGCACATATGCAATGCCCTTTGCGAATGTTTGTTGCAAATACGGTTTTAGGAAACCATTTGCGACCATAGTTTTTATCATTAACCACTGCAGTAAAAGAATTGGCAATAGACAACCGTTTTAAATAATTCTCTGTGCAGCATTCAGATATAGCACTAGTCTTTGCATTACAACTTAAAAAGAAAGCCCTATTACTTTTAATGAGATGTAGACAGGCTCCAGCTGAGACTACAACCGTCTTTATATTTAAAGAGAAGAGCTCTCACACTACCTTCTGTCTCACGTGGAGTGTGTTTTCCTGAAACTCTTCTGCTTGTGGCGAAAGTTGAATTCTCTTCTCCTGATTTCCGAGTGTCTAAAACAAGAGAATAGCATTTAGCCTGCAGTTTTCTCATCTGAAAGCCTGATTAGCACACATGTTTTAAACTGGTTCTAAGAGGCCCTAAATGCGCTCAAGGTGAATCACTCTTTTGCCAGCAGTGTGCTTGTGCAGGAAGTATAGCTTGACGAAGGGCTCACACCTTACGCTTTCTCAGCACCACGCTGTAATTTGGTCCCTCTTTGACATCGGACAAATAAAGCCTGTCAATCAAAGCGCAGTTTAAAATCGATGTGACACGAGTCACGGTGGCATCCTAAGCAGGTTTTCATGCCATGCCTTTTCCTTGTCATCAGTAATTTATTAGATGTGTGCTTCTGCTGTAGTGGAGGATCTCAGTGATGCCCTCAAATACGAATCAAACGCCTCAAAAGGCCATTAGAGGATGAAAAATGCATGCCAAAGTTAAAACCTTTTGTTTGTATTTGCCAAGCATAAATTGAAAAATGCATGCCATTTCGTACCAAAGGCAGGATTATCATTGTGATAACACTTTAGAATAGAGAACACTTATTCACTATTAACTATGACTTTTCCCTCAATACATTCCTAATGTGCTGCTTATTAATAGTTAGTAAGGTAGTTGTTAAGTTTAGGTATTGGGTAGAACGAGGGATGTAGAATAAGGCATTAATATGTGCTTAATTACTACTAATAAAAGGCTAATATTCTAGTAATATGCATGCTAATAAGCAACTAAGAGACCCTAAAAGTGTTACTATTATTGTTAATTGAAACTAACACCATAAACCAAAAACATTTCAGATATGAACTAAAATAAAATTAAATAATAAAAAACTTATTTCAACATTTTCAATATATTAAGCAGTCATAGGAGAACATCTGCAGATTGTTGCTATGTTGCTCATAAAGCCTCAGGCTGTTCTATTTGTGTCCACACAGCAGACGTGTTGAGTTCAGTCTCTGACAGATGGACATTTCCAGGGATCAAAGTAAAGCAGGACGCTTAAAAAGGCTTTTCTGTTCTCCAACATTAATTCCTGCATTGACAACGTCCACTTCTGCAGCTGAGATGTCTGCAGTCTTTGCTTGTTTGTTTGCCTGGGTTCCAGCACGATGACGAGACAAACCTGTCTTTAGTTTAGGTAACGCTGTGAGAGAGTCATTTTTCAAAGATGAATGGAAGGGCACATCAGCAGGCAGCAAGTATGTAAAATCAATGCTGCTTTGCTGAATGGTTTTTCAAATGAGAGTGAAATGAGTGTTTGCTGATGTAGAGCTCCTGAGAGTGTCAGACATTGATTGACCGATGGGTTACTGAGGGCACAAGCAGAACAAGCTCAGACCTGCCAGTGGGAGATCTTTCTCTGAAACAAACAAACAGGAAAACAACTTCAGTGCTTTTCTATGACTGAGGTTCTGTACTTTTGCTTGCTTTGGCTTTATGACCCCACAAAATAGCTCAACAAGCGCAGTTTTCTTTTCATTTGTTGACATTTTATATTGAAGCTGGAAATTTGGGTGAGACATTTTCCCTTCTTAAAAGGAATATTTGATTAAAAATAAAAACTTACGCCCCCTCAGTCCATCCAAGATGTATTTTGTTTCTTCATCATATTTGGAGAAATGTGTCATTCCATCACTTGCTCACCAATAGATCCTCTGCAGTGAATGGGTGCCGTCAGAATGAGAGTCCAAACAGCTGATAAAAACATCACAATAATACACACCACTTGAGAAGACAAAATTATTAATAATGCTTCCTCCAGTAAAAAAGTGTTCTGGTCTGAATCAGGAGAGAAATCTGCACAGATCAAGCACTGTTTACAAGCCAAATACAGCTCTAAACAAATATGTGGCTGGACTTTGATGTGAGAGACGACAGGAGATGCATTTTTTCACTGGAGGAAGCATTATTATGGATTATGGACTCATATTTTAGCTGGAAGCAAACAGTTTAACGTTAAAACATCTTAAAGATGGATTTGTTTCTTCCAAACATGCAGCTTTTGGCTTCTCAAGACATTAATTAATGGGCTGGAGTGGTGTGGATTACTTGTGGATTATTGTGATGTGTTTATCAGCTGTTTGGACTCTCATTCTGACGGCACCCATTCACTGCAGAGCATCCATTGCTGAGACACTGATGCAATGCTACATTTCTCCAAACCTGATGAAGAAACAAACTCGTCCTAATCTCGGATGACCTGAGGGGGAGTAAATATTCACATTCTAATTTTTGGGGTGAACTATTCCTTTAAATAGTCAATAGGCTCAGAGCTCTTACGTGGTTGGTTATTATATAATATGTATATTGTTGTGCTCTTGCCAGCCTGGTGATTCTCTTTTGATCTCTCTCATTAACAAGGCCTTTTCAGCCACAGAACTGTCGCTCCCTGGATGTTTTTCTGTTTTTCTGCATTTGCTGTAAACTCAGGACTGTTTACGGTGCGTGAAAATCCCAGATCAGCTGTTCCTGAGATACTCAAACCACCTCGACTGCCACCAACAATCATTCCACAGTGTCACTTAGATCGCATTTCTGCCCCAACAGGGATTGAGTTGCCACCTCATGATTGGCTGAGCAGAAATTTGCATTAAAAAGCAGGTGTATCGGTTGTACTAAAATAGCAGTTAATCTACCAGTAATCCTACTAAAATAGCCATCTTAATATTGCACGTCAAACAAATACATGTGAAAGTCTCCAAATTAGACGTGTAAATTCATGTGTATTATGAAGAAAGATGAGAACTCACTGTCATCATTTGTCTAACGCAGGTACTCGTTTCAAGATGAGGAGGACATGTTCATGGTAGTTGACCTGCTGCTGGGAGGAGATCTGCGTTATCATCTACAGCAGAACGTGCACTTTACAGAGAGCACAGTCAAGCACTACGTGTGTGAAATCGCCCTCGCTCTGCACTACCTGCGCAACAAACGCATCATCCACAGGTAATGACTGCATGAAGCTTTTACACATCCAGTGATACAATCAAAGCAAAAAGGCACAAATAATAATAAATAAATAAAAAAGTCTCATGCACAAGCAAAGTTAGATGCTGATGTACTGTACTGTTCTCTGTGTGTGGCCTGGTTTGCTTATACAGATACAGACAATAGACAATCTTACTACCAAATAATAAGATTTATATGTATGCACACACACACACACACAAATTATTACGTTTGCTTGATAAAAATCTGTAAAGATTTGACAGCAAAAAGACCTGGGCTGAAGATGGATGTTTGTACAATTATAACAAAAGTCCTTTTAAAAAAAAACATAAACTCTCAATCAGATGACAGAAGGCATGTAGTATATTGTGTACATCAGGTTCCCTATATGTCAGTCACTACGGGTTATGTCGTGACGACATTAGGGGTTTACTCGGGAGCCCCAATCATCTCTGATTTTAAAAGAAAACGGCAATGAAATTTGGCTTGTGGATTTTGCATGCTGAGTCACTCCCTGTGCATACGGGTATAAATAGGCGACAGGTGCATCCACTCATTCAGATTTTTGCTTCGGAGCCGAGTAGTTGTATGAAAGCTGTTATAATCCACAAAGCCTTTCATCTGCTGTGTGTCGGAGAGGTGTTCTGGTTGTGGGTACGGCGCAAACAGCGGTGTCCCTTTCAGTGATTCCCCTGGGCACTTCAACTAAAAGAGCAAATTGCGGACGACTCGTGTCTTTTTAAAGATGTCTGGTCTCTGCTTTTCGCACTGTCCATGTTCTCTTGGTTGTGGTCATTTCCGTCCGTTGGCTCATTCAGACAGTTAGACTCAGCTACGCGATTCATTCTCGAGACTTTGGTGGCAGCTCGAGATGCCCCTGTCCTGCGCTAGGAGATTGCTGTCCTACTGACGAAGGATGCAATCGAGCCTGTCCCTCCAGCCGAGATGGAGTCAGAGTTTTACAGCCATTGCCCCGTTATGGGAAGTGGGCATCAGGATCCTCAACTATCTCAACAACTGGCTCATCATGGCCCAGTCGTGAGAACAGTTGTGCGATCACAGGGACCTGGTGATCCAGCACCTCAGCCAACTAGGGCTTCAGATCAACTGGGAAAAGAGCAAGCTCTCCCCTGTGCAGAAAATCTCTTTTCTCGATATGGAGTTAGACTCGATGAGTATGATGGCGCTTCTCACCAACGAGCATGCCCAGTCAGTGCGGCTGAAGTCGCTGCGCGCCGTCCACATTCCGGGGGAGCTCAATTGTATGGGCGACACACTCTCACAACAGCTTACTTTCCCTGGACAAGTCAAAAGTACAACAAAGAGGAAGCCGTGCTTCCACAGAAAAAAAATACAAGAAACAAAAAGATGAGCAAAAGGCAAATCCAAAACCACAACAGACTTCGCTTTCTTGGTGAGGATAGCACAGGCATAGTAGGCTCAAGACTGAACACAACTGAAAGAAAGAGGCATGCTTAAATAGGCAAACGCAAACAAGGTAATGACCCACAGGTGGGAGGAATCAAGTCCTAATGAGTAGTAATACAATGAATTCTACAGAAGCTAGGGCCACCTAGTGGCTGGGAGAGTCATTACATGGCATAAGTGTCAGTGTCAGCTAATGGTTGGGAGAGTCATTACAAGCTGGAGCCTTACAATGACGTAATCAAACAGACAATAAACACTATTAACAGCAATTATTATATGTTGCAATCAAACTTGTGGCAAAATTTGGCAGTTTATGTTGTTTCAGGGTTGGCATCATCAGAAGTGTTCTGAGGGGTTGGCATCATCTCTTCTCAGGTGTTCAGTCATCTCAGGTCTTTGTAAGGGCTGGATCCAGACTGAAAGCTCATCGGTCTGAAAAGCGAGGTGTGCTCTGATTGGCCAGCTATCCAGTGCGTTGTGATTGGCCGAATACCTGAAGCGTACGCCCCTTACCATACTGTGATGCTGTGTCATGGCGCGACGAGACAAAAACAATAAAACCCATTACAAACGAGGCATTTGTTGCATCCAGTGGGGACATAATTACTGATTATAATGACTTATACTTTTACACGTCTTTTTACACGTTGTGTTGCATATCGCGCCACGTAAACATAAAACCATGTTGTGATCGGAGAAATGACAAACAACCAGCGCTACTCTACACTGCTCAAAACTCGCGTTTGAATTGTCAGTGGCAAATTCTTTTAATATGAAAACGTACTTACAGGCCGTGAGTCAGAAGCGCCAGACTGTCCTTGCAAACTTGGAACTGCCCCACTTTATAGAAACAGCCTTTGTGTGTAGCCAGCATTGTAGTCTACTCTCCCAGGATCAGGAAACAGTCCTCCGTAAAATGTGCTGCACACATCTGAATATTTGGGTTGAAGTGTTCTGGAACAGTGTTGTAAATACAACTTAACCACTGATTTCTAGTCGTGTCCTCTTTTGGAAGACCAAACAAAGTAGTTTCGCTTTCACAACGAAACACACAACATCTTCACGACATGG